TCCCAAATTTATAACCTTATTTTCTGCTATCTACAGCGGCTCATGTCAAACACCATCTTTGGTAGGGGAGAGAGCGCCAGTGTTTTTAGGGATACCGAAGTCTTCTTGTTATACTGTCTTGTCAATAGGATGGTGGTTGATGTGGGATACTTTTTAGCCAAACAGTTAGAAAAAATCGGGAAATCTAGTGTAGGTGACATTGTTGTTGGAGGGTTGATCACAATCCTCGCAGAACATATGAAATTATCATTCACTCACCTACCAATTGAGAAACCAATATCCCGATTGGATTTACCATATTGCACAGCTTTTGGTCTTATAACTAAAGTTGAAGACGAATATTGGTTAACTTTCTTTCAAGGCCCTATTTTCCCACTCCTTAATCATAATCTTACCAACACTGAAAGCCAGGATAATTGGCAGCCACCTGAAGGTGACTTGCCTTACGAACCACCTACTCAGGTACCCCTACAACAACCGGCTCCACACACTTCGCCCCACGGTGCATCCACATCTGTTAGACCCTAGAGGGGGGTGATTAGGGTCTTATGCTAATCTAATCCGATTAAATACCAATTAAAATATATTAACAAGTTATCCTAGCAAGTATGAAATGTAACAATATATATGAGCTAGGATAAGTAATATGAACAACAAGATATATCCTAATAATGAGATATAGGCAATGTATGTGTAAGGATATATAAACAACACAAGGGTAGATAATCTAAACAAGATAGTAGATGAAATAAATGAGCAATGCACAATTGGCGATGTAAGATGAATGCAAAACAAGATATATCCTAATAATGAGATATAGGCAATGTATGTGTAAGGATATATAAACAACACAAGGGTAGATAATCTAAACAAGATAGTAGATGAAATAAATGAGCAATGCACAATTGGCGATGTAAGATGAATGCAAAAACAAATACGCCAAAAACAAACTCAAACAAGCAATATGATCACGGAGTTCGGACCTTCCGTCCTACGTCTTCGTTCCCCACTCCTGGGGAGAAATCCACTATCAACCGGGTTTTCTACGTTCACCCGAACAACGTTTACACCTCACACTCGGTTTTCTAGCTAACCGAAAACTTTACAATCAACACACTATTGTAATCACACTCTACACCCACTAAGTGTTGGACCTAGCCGTATCTCCCTCAAGTGCTCGATTACAACCTCTCCCTAGGCTCATCAACCGACGCCACTCCTCTTGGGACGATCCCCGACTCTCACCACACACTCATCACATGGTGTACAAGTGTATTACAAAGTGAATCTCTCAATAAGCACAATATAACAAATGATTGTTCTCAACTATGGATGAGAACACAATGAAAGCACAACTCAAAGTTACAATCTCTCACCACCCAACTATACTATGTATGTAAATACTAAAAGCTCAATGTGGGTGTGTGTAACAATGAGTAATATAAAAATAAATCTAAACTCAATATAAAACTAGCTTTAATGGAAATGATAATTAACAAATAATTATAAGTAAAAGCTAGAGTTGAGTTTAGGAAAACTTCACTAGATCAAGATGGAGAGATGGAGATTTGAGGCCCAAACAATAAGATAAACTCCTCCACTTATGAAAGCTAAAACTGCTTTAAACCAAACCCTTAAACAAGCTTAAACAAGCTAAAACTCTTTTTTTTAAAAACCTTGTTTAAAAACTTCTTGGCTTTATTGAAAGAGAGCAGCAATAGGGTATATATACCCACTTGAAATCTCAGTCAAGAAGTCCAAACAAAAGACAAAAACAGCCCCAGCAAACAGCTCAGAGAAATAGCCGTTGAAGTCCAACGGATCTATTGTCGGTCGACCGGAAATTCTGTCGATCGACCGATGGAGCGCAAAAACACAAAAACCAGCTCTGGACAATCGTCGGTCGACCGGTGCGGTCGACCGATGGAGCTTTCGGTCGACCAGACCGGTTAAAGAGATCAAATGATCGGTCGACCGGTGCGGTCGACCGAAATCTGATACATGAAAAATAAAGTTTGAAAGCTGTTTTGCTGATTTTAAAACACTGTTTAAAAATATCAAATAAATTCCAAAAAATATAAAACTTTGGGGAATGATTGTAGACATGATAATAAACATGCTACAATGACTGGTTATCAGAAATGACCTCCCAAATAAAAAATATCATCATTTTACAAAATAGCCCAAAACATGAAAATATGATATACTTGAATTTTGATGTTTTGACATAAACCAGCTTCTGAAACTTTGTGAAATGTTTTTATAGACTTAGTAAAACATGTATAAACTAATATTGAAGTCTATAAACTAATAAGACAATATTTTCACAAAATTGCATATTCTATGCAATGTTTTCAAAAACACAATTGTAAATATGAAATATGTGATTTCATATTATAAACATGAAAACCCAAAACCATGCATGTATATATATAACTAGATATATATACATAGAAAACAAAACTTATGTATATATATATATAACTATATATATATACGAAGAAATCAATAAATATGTGTGTATAGATATTGAGCTTAACGTATTAAACACACATAATATAAACCTATACTAAATTACCCAAGCTTGATCTTGATCTTCATTGTAGCTCAACTTGGTACACGTTGCGGATGAAGCTTGAACTTAATCTTTAACTTGAATTGTACGTAGCTTCACTCCACAAATCCGCCAACCTCCATTTGATATCGTCGTTGAAGCGTTATTCCATCCATCCTCCAACAACGTTGTTTGTCTAAAATACATAGGAATGCACAAATACTAGACAAACAACATTAGTTGTAAATTATTTGTTAAACATCATCAAAACAAGAAGCCCAACAACATCTAGTGTGTCCCCCAATTGGATCAACAGGTTCAACATATTGGAGCGGTGGAAGCAACAATTGAAAGAGTCCGTCCACTCATTACGACAAGATATGGGCACACAATTCCATGCCATTAACACGCGTCTGGATGGTTTTGGCACTACACTAGGAACGATGAACCAGTTGATACAAGATTTGCACCACTTTTCTCTACCTCATCCTTATGCACCTCCACCGCCACCTCAATGAGCGGTGAGTCCACCATATCCTCCTTTCAATTACTCAAACAAATTGGGGACAATGTGCAATTCAAGCATGGGGGATTGGGTGTGTTGGGATGATGTTTCATGTATGCTTTGGTGTTTTTGAGTGCTTGTTTTCTGTATTGGGATTTTTCATTTAGGGTTTGTTTGGATTGAGGGAAATGAGGGTGAAGGGAAGTTAGGGGAACCATTCACCTCCATTCACCTTGTTTGGGAACACTTAGGAGGTGAAGTTAATTCACCTCCATTCACCTTGGTTCACCCCCTAATAGTATAAAAATTGTTACCCCCCAAATTGGGGTGTAACCAAGGGGAAGGGAATTCCCTTCCCTTCCCTTCCTTTCCCTTCCCTTCCCTTCACTCAGTTTCCCTTAACTTCCCTTCACCCCCTACGAATCCAAACAAGCCCTTAGCTTTCAAAAGAAAAAGAAAGAAGAAAAGAAAATGAGTACCACTATTCAGCAAAACCTTTTAGCACGTACATCATTTATTTCACATGCCCCATTGTTAAAAAAAAATCTTTGTTTCATGTTCAGTTGGTTAGGATGTTATCTGTTCGAGTTCCACTTTGTCGATACTTAACTCTAAACATTGGAGAGATAGGAATGGATTTTGGCTCAACCCATCTAATTAAAACCTAATCTTCTTTGGTGACTTGGAATACTTTTTGGTTACTGGAGAAATGCACAGCCATGTTGGATGACAGCAGTCAGTTATCATGCGATCTGGAGTAATATTTGAAGTTATCTTTTAACACGTTTTTCCCAGAATTAAAAGGGAGACGCCTTGAAGCATCTGGGGAGGAACCGGGGGCTAGAGATCTTGATTTTTCTTTCTTCTTCTTCTCTTCTTCTCTCTGAAAACTCTTAGATTAGGTTTTCTTTTGATTTAAAACCTGCTGTTTGTGGAGAATTGTGTGCAACTTCAACACTACGGTTTATCTTTCTGATCTATCTTAATTTTTAGTTTATGATTATGATCTTATATATTTTTATCATGTTTTATATTTCAATTATGTGTGAGTAATTGTCTTATCTGGGATTGAACTAGGTTCGGCCATGGTTATGAATTAATGAACTGATTATTGTTGTTATTGATTGTTCGATTTGCATTATTCAGTTACTAGTATCTAATTGCCTAGGGTTAATTCAAGTTGTTATTGATTGTTCGATTTGCATTATTCAGTTACTAGTATCTAATTGCCTAGGGTTAATTCAATTGACCATTGATTTAATTCTTTTAGGATGTTGATTTGAACTGAAAGGTTAGATTAACGCCGGAAAATAGTAATTGAACAAGAATTAATTGATCACGAAAGTAGGTTAATTATTCCTTGAGAACATGAGGGATTAACAAGAACTTAATGGGTTTAATTTGGTTTAACACCATGAAAATTGGTTGTTAGGCTGAATTAGGCATGAATTTTAGTCGTCGAAAGAGACTAATAGTTATCATAGGTTAGTCGTTCTTAATGCATTAAGAGATTCGATAACAATTGATTAATTTATTGATTCGAACCAGAGTTGAAACCGAAGTTCAATCCTAGATCCTTTTAATTGAGTGAATTCGTCGTTGATACTAGCTAGCGTGTTCATTATTGATAATCAAAAATTATACTTTTTAACACAATTGGTTTAGATAGTCACAAAACTGTGAAAATCAGTAATTAACAACGAAGTCCTTGAGGATACGACCTTGCATTGCTACAATGATATCCGTGCACTTGCGGATTTGAGTGAACATCGTACAATATTAATAACATATATAGTAGCAAGTCCTTCAGCCACGCTGACATACATCACACTAGAATGGGCTACTGCGAAGTAACAAGTTTTCAAAAAACACTTCAACGGTTCCCCATTACAACTTAATATAGGTAGAGAATAAAATTAGCAGCTCGATCAACTTGAAGAAGACGAAGTAGAATCTGTCGTCATGTACTAAAACTCTACATGTCCAGGCTAGGGTAAAAGCAGCACCTCAGTCATTCTTCGTGACCTCTCATCACCTCAACTATCAATTTACATCAAATCAAATAAAAATGAAATCAGTAACAAGAATTTTATATATGGAATTGACCAGTGGAGAGTTCTAATTAGTGGAACTAAGTATATACCCTAGTTAGAGAGCAGTCTGCTGCTGGTGAGAGTAGTGGTGATTGGGATCAAGCAAGTTCACTTGGAGAAAGTTTCGTGAATCGAATTAGGGCATGCCTTCATATTCATTCGAGGTTGTTGCAGGTAACATGTTCATTTGCTGCTGGGCTCTCTCATTTTTAGCTATCTGTTTATAACATTGGCCCTGTTAGTAACGTAGAAGAATGGAAATATATACACTAAACAGATGATAAAGGAACTAGATTAATAAGTAATGGTTGCAAAAATTCAAACCCCAAAGTGAAACCTAACTATGATATCTTAGGCTATCTTAGGATAATATACAAATTTTTGTATACAACAATTTGTGTGACTGTCTAGTATAGAGCTTTCAGAGTTCAAAGATTCATTTGTTATAGTGTACATTGAAGTTTATCGTGGAATTAGAAATGTGTGAAAGTTACATCAACCTCATATATTAGCTCTCACTGAAAATGAAGCTAATTTCTTACTCTTCATCTAAACCGTTCATCTCCAATGCATTCCGTCCTAAAATTTTAAATTTGCCTTTATACTCAAAATGATATAAAAGCATAAAACTAGTGAAGCTAACTGTACAAGGATAGCTTTCAGCATAACATGCATATATATATATATGAAAAATTCTTCAATCATGTTTAAGTTAAATCGGTGGTTTAATGCTTTCTCAAATGAATTAAGCTCGGGACACGAGTAAGATTATTGGCGTGCAAAATTTTTATAGGCAAGAAAATAAAAAGGGATAAGTTCTTGCTACATGCTATATAGTTAATCGATCAGCTAGCTAAATGTATTTAATAGGCAACATAACTGGGAATTAAGAAATTACCTTGTTCCTTAAGCACATATTATCATTTTGCAACTCCATCCCCTACAAGATAAAATCATTAACTATGACAACTTTCAGGAGAGTAAGAGAACAGACATATACTGATGCTTATTACAAGGGATTTTATTCTTCTTCTCACCCTTTTTTGCATGTATTCAATCTCAGCATACAACAACTCATTCTGCACATAAGGAATAAAATTAGCACCCAATTCAATCAGTCTAATGACTTGGAGGATTTATTAGTAGTCCCGAAACATATATAATATTGGTTGGCAGACAGAAAATAACTACCAAGTTCATTATTTGCACTTTATATACAGCTAATCTTAATTCACAACAAATAAGTCATGGATGGAAAAGTAATATGTAAACCACACCAAATAATTCATGGATGTCTCACCCAGTGCAGTAAATGATAGAGTCTGCAACAACCCATGATCCATCGGCAAATAAAACTTTTCCATCTTCACAAAGAGAGTCAATCAGAAAATACACATGTTAACTTGGCAATTGTTACTTCATATTAGCAAATAATGCTTGATTATAGTAAAATAGCTTCATGCATGTGATGCTATATATAATTGCTTTAAATGTCTATACATGCATGTACAATGTGGTGGCATTTGCAGTATATGACTTGGGAATACCTGTTGCTTTAAATGTCTATACATGCATGTACAATGTGGTGGCATTTGCAGTATATGACTTGGGAATACCTGTAGATGTATGTGCAGGTTTTGATATTTGGATATGACTTTTGAAAGACCTTAAGAGATTTGAAGAGATTTGGCAATGAGATGTACTTTTTTTGCTACACCCACCAGCTCCAATGATATGTCTTGGCCACTAAGCGAGTTCCCAACAACTACAACTACCTATGTGTAGTGTTTAAATAAAGTAACTTCTTGTTAGCTGTACTAGAAATTTGATGAGAAAATACACGACAATATACACAGAAAATAATTTTTTTCTACTAGCAATTTCCTCACAACATACAAGTGTTCTATATTAATTCTGTGATTGGTACACATGTATGTTTTACAAAAAAATTTATTATTTACATTACTACTTTAATGTTAGGCAGTGTGTGAGAATAAGAATTCATAACTTTAAAATGAGAAAATTCTTCTAACATCACTATGAAATGGCTTGGGAACTCAATATACAAGGCTATGAATCTGCTTACTAGTCCATCTATCCATTCCTTCACAAAACAAACAATAAACATCAGAGTCACACTAAGAATAAATCAATTTATCGCTATCCTCCAATTCCATTTCTACTGTTTTTGATATGATAAAGTGATCACTTACCTCTAATGCTTGGCAATTTCAGCATACAACTTTTTTGCATGAGATGGCCGGAGTCTTTTCCATGGATCAGTTCGGTAGAGGGCAACAGAGGAACTGAAGACGGATCTGATGAAGGCCGGGGAAATGCCTTCGATGTTGAGAAGGCAAGTCCCTGAGCTTGGGCCGAGCCCTGGTACAGATCCAAACTGGTATTGGAATCTTGTAAAGAGATTCTTGAGGTGAATCTCCATGAGAATGGCACTAAAAATCAGTTGAAATACTGCAAGATTCAAAAGTTATAATGAGTGTAGAATCAATATTTTGCAAAGAAGAACTCAGTTTCTTAGTTAGACCCCGGAAGTATAATATAAATAACTTTAATTCCAATGCAGATTACAGAAAACATAGAGCTAAAAGATTGAATTTCTCATTTCAAACAACTGAATCCCTAAAGATCCTCAATTAAAAATCTCTATAAAGTGAATTCGAAAGGCTAAGAAAAACCTAAATTTCTTTGAACAATGAAAGCACCCAATTCACGGGGAGTTCCATTTCTAGTTGGTATAAATCAAAATCGCTAGACATGCCCAAAAGACAGGATTTTTATGCTTCAGGGAGTGAATTGAGATTGCTCAACAACATTATTGTAGGCGTATAAAACTGCCTATAGGTCCCTGAACACAGCTCGGCACGGTGATTCGATAAACCAACGAACCATCGGGTGACGTATCTAAACACGAGCGTCAGTCCACAACACCGAAGCCAAGTGACACGCAACGAAGCGGATTAACGAGGCGACGAGGTTAACGAATCGCACGCAAGCAACGGAATGCATCCATTCGCGTGCGGAATCAAGCCAACGGTTCGGGGAGTCAACGAGTCATCCAACCATAGAACGGATTCGAACTCAAACACCAAGGCGGATTTACTGCCAAATCGGGATCCGGACTTCCAAATCAGAGTTCAGATCAACGACGAGGCGGATTTACTGCCAAATCAGGATCCGGACACCAAATCAGAGTCCAGATCAACAATAAAACTTGGATAAACCGCGAAAACGGACAACGGACACAACGGCGAAGCCCGGCCAAAAGATGAGTCACCCGGGTGGCTCGGCGGCCGAGCCACCCCATGGGGTGGCCGAGCCACCCATGGGTGGCTCCGATCGTCCACGTCAAATAAGGCAGGAGTTCGAGAGGGATCGGATCTGAGATCTACACGATTATCCTCCGGATCAAAGCTTGGCCTTTGATCCCGAGAAGGCTATTATTTCCTTGGTGAAATAGTACCCCCCGGCTGTTATTTCCTTCGTAAGATAACACCCGTTATACTGTGTAGATCCGACCGGATCTAGATCGCGCGGTGGTCCACGGATTAACCCGACGCAGGCGAAGAACCCACAAAAGCGAGTGACCGCAAAACAGGAGCTCGTGATTCGTTCGACAAACAAGGAAAAAGTTGTAATTTTTATTTTATTTTGATCTCGTTGTAACCGGATCTTGTAAAAAGACCAGATCTTTGTGTAATCGATAAACATTTGCCAAAGAGCATAATGACTTTAATAAAAGCTACAATTTTTCCCGCGAACAATCTGACGACCACAGTGGGAGCCACCGAACTCGCTGCCGAGATCGTCGTGTCGCAACCGTGGATCTCAATCCCGGTCGAGGAGGAGGTCGAGTATGAATTCGACTAGCAAAAGTTCGAGGAGTATCTGTCATCCTCATCTAGATCCACCTCCCCTCGCAAGTCCAAGAAGTTCTCTTCCAGGAGAAAAGTTCGTTGGTATGAAGAAGTACAGAATGCCAACGAAGCTCTCACCCCAATTGACGCCAAAGTTGCGTCGGGTGAAGTTCCGCCGACCTCCAACCAGGTCAACCCTGTTCTCGCCGATGCCTCCACCGTTGAGGACGTTGTGACTCTCTCGAAGAGATCCTACCAGAGGCAACGTCAACGCCTGGCGCGGCAACTCACAAAGGCGATGGAGTCCACCGACGGAGTCCGCTATCACGCGGATCTGAAGAACAGGAGAGGCAAACCGCCTCAACCACCGATGAATGGCAGCTCTTCTAAGCCGCCAACGAACGAATGGGTCCGTGTCAAACGGAATCGTTCGACACTCGAAGAGTGCATTCGCAAGCGCCGCGCACTGTCAGCGCAAGCACGGGCTCAAGTCCAGGAAGCCCACAGGAGATTGCAGAAGGAAAGGGCGAAGAAACCGCCACCAACCCGTCAAGTCTGGAGGCCAAAGTCTGAAGCGGCGATTCAGGCTAAGGAGCAACCTTTGCAGCCTTCAGCAAAAGCTCAACCTCCGGCGAACCACTCCAAATCACCGATAATTCCCATGGCTACTCCGGGAGATCACGCAGAATCATCCCAAAGAAAAAAGTCAGTCTTGGAGCGTCTCGGTCCACTTCCCGATGGACGATGGAAAGCTCCGGTTCAAGAACGTTTGGCCCCAAAGAAGAAGCCCCGAACGACTCAACATGCTGGGGGTCGCCGTCACCTCCAACATGACAAAGAGATCAGGGCAGCTATGCGCACCAATTTACGCATTGAAGTCTAGGAACCCGCTGAGAACTCACGCCCCCAAAGGCATGTTTCGAGGCGCGTGACTTTTGAAAGCCCAAAGAAGGCAGTTCACCCTCAGAAGGAAACATTATCGTCTGATGACGATAACGTTATACCTGAGAAGTCGTGCCCACTCACGATAGGTTACTCCAACTGGTACTATTGTGATGGGAGTACGAGAAAAACCAGGAAGAGGAGTCCTCAAGAACAAGAAACTCAATGCCCATGTTCCAAACTCATTCGGGCAGTATTGTCTAAGTGTAACTGCATCAAGACAGTTCCTGAAAGAGTTTCAGTTTTTGAAATACTCAGTACCAAAACGCCAAAACAAAGGCCTAGGCGTTTCCGACGAAGAAGAACGGTGGTTGAAGACGGAGAATTTCCGAGGGTCACCACTAACATGACCAGCAAGGGGACATCGGCACGAGATAATCTCGAGTCGATTCTGAAAGCACCCCGGCGTATAACCCATCTGCAGTCCGGAACCATCAAACGAGCAACTTATGGTAGGGTTTGGACAAGACTACCTTCAGAAGATGAAGAATCTAATGCCGGCTCCGCGGTTGCATCAGATAATACGGTATCCAGCGAGGGACAACCCCGTGAGGCACTTTTGATATATGCAGAACAAGTGGCCAAGATGCTTGAAGAGGCCATGGCTAAACAACAGGAAAGCTTTAGGTTTGAAATGCAGATGGCCATGCAGAACATGAGAGAAATGCATGACCAACAAATCCAAGCATTGACGAACCAGCAAGGCGAGCCGAGTCGTCGTAACCAGGTTAATCTGGAAGATGAGGACACAAATGCGAATGAGACTCATAATGCCAATAATCATCCCGTAAATGCAGGGGGTGGTAACGAGAATGCTAATGAAAACACAGGTGAAAGCTTAAAGATCAAGAACCTCGAGAGAAAATCAATACATTGATTTCCGCTCAAGAGATGAAGAAAACAGGCATTCCTTGTCCATACCCAAGAGAATGGGAATCGATCCCATATCCGGCGAAGTTTAATCTAATTAACTTCACGCCGTTTAATGGGATGGGTTCACCCACTCAGCATTTGATTTACTTCAAATCGCACCTGGGGGTTATCTCTGGTAATGAACCTCTGATGGTACGGTCCTTCGTTGGCACTCTTCGTGGAGCCGCCTTCGATTGGTATCGCCGCCTCAAGCCAGGAAGCATAAACAGCTGGGACGACATGGAAACTAAGTTCCTTACAAACACCGAGATATCCATCGGGTTGTTGCTTGACGAGAAACAGAAAGACGGGGAATTGGTTGACACCTTTGTCAAAAGGTTCCGGAACAAGGCGATGAACTGTCG